CTTTAGAGAAAAATCTTGTCTGAGCAAAGTAAAAATCAAAACCTTCTAAAAAACTTTCTCAGAGGTCATAAATTTTACCACTTCAGGCCTTCTTAGAGAATGTCCAGTTCAATTAACAGTAAAATAGCTTTAACAAGCCAAAATGTGATTTGTGTACTATACAGCTTCTATCATGATTCTGATTGAGACTGATGATATTTTAAAATGGTTAGAAAATGGACATTCTAATAATTTATTTATTTTGATTCTTGAGGATTTATACCTATTAGTAAAATATAAAGTGTATTACTCTTGACCCTGTACAGTAGCTTTTATTGAATTATAAGTTGATATTACATCCTTGACTTTTAACAGAAGTTGGTGAAAGTAATGGTCAAAATGGATTATTGCTGCTTGATTTTTTAAATTAATGAAAGAGGTAGTCATGTTGTTCAAGATGGTCAAAAACCTATGCACTTAATTTATGTTAGATTACAGAACTAAGAAAAAACTTTTCTTGATAAAATTATATTCCTTCTCTCTTAATAATTGGCAGTCTCTAATGTTTCATGTTTCCTTCTGGTTTAAGCAGCTCAGAAACTCAATCATTTATGCTATAGATTGCAAGCACAGTCACTCTTCTTTATTTCTTTCTGTGTTCCATATTAACAGCTTTGATCATGTACTCTTTTACTTTTGTTTCAGTGTTTTTAATTTACTAAGATTCTTCCCTAGTTCTGTGAAAAATACTCTTGGTATTTTGATAGGGATTGCAATGAATCTGTGGATTAGTCACTTTGTGTAGTATAGATATTTTAACAATATTAATTTTTCCAATTCATGAGCAAGGTATATCATTTCATTTGTGTTGTCTTCACTTTCTTTCATCAATGTCATACAATTTTCAGAGTATAGGTCTTTTACTTCCTTGGTTAAATTTATTTCTGATATTTTGTTGTTTTTGCTACAATTTTAAATGAGATTGTTTTCTTAATTTCTCCTGCTACTTTATTATTAATGTACAGAAATATAACAGATTTCTATGTATTATTTTGTATCCTGCAACTTTACTTTACTGACTTATTTATTAGTTGTAATAATTTTTTGGTAGTCTTTAGGGTTTTCTATATATAGTATTATGTCATCTGCAAATAGTGATAGTTTTACTTCTTTAACCAATTTGAATGCTTTTTATTATTTTTTTCTTGTCTGATTGCTGCAGCTAGGACTCTCAGTACTATGTTGAATAAGAGTGGTGAGAGTGGACATCCTTGTCTTGTTCCTGATATAAAGGAAAGATTTCAATTTTTCACCATTGAGTATGATGTTAGCTAATGGTTTGTCATGTATTTATTATTATGTTGAGGTATGTTCCCTCTAAACCCATTTTGTTGAGAGTTTTTAATCATGAACAGATGTTGGATTTTGTCAGATGTTTTTTTCTGCATCTGTTGAGATGATCGAATAGTTTTTATCCTCCATTTTGTGAATGTCATGTATCATGTTGACTGATTTGTGGATATTAAACCAGTATATGTAGAGAACTTTAAATACAATTGTAATCTATAGTTAATTAACATTATTTCTAAAAACAAGGCTTAAAGAAAATCACTAGATAATAAAAATGAACAAAGGGTACAAAGATACATGTTAAGTATGTTTATAATAGTTACAAAATAGCAATAAGAAAATATGCTCCAAGAAGACAAGGATTGTTTGTTTTGTACACTGGGGCATCTCAATGCCTAGAACAGTGCTTAAAACAAAGTAGGTACTCAATAAATGTTTATGGAAAGCATGAATACAGTGTTAACATATAATGGGAAAACAATACACAAATTTTACAGTAATAGAATAGGTCTTAAAATATGTGAGTACAGGGATAAATTGTAAATTCAGTTTTTAATTTTAAAAAATTGGACTTTTTTTTAGTGGCTCAGAAAGATCTTACTAGGCTGACTCTACCAAACATAACAACTTTAATGCCTGGACCTAAAATGGAATACACCAAAAAGTCACAATGCATATCTTTGCGTTTGTGGATTCAGGTTATTTTAATTTTACTTTTTGTAATTTAAAAATGCTTCTACAAAAAAAAAAAAAACTATGTTTTTTTTCATAGAAAAAGAAAGTCAAAATAGTACCTTTGTGTTTATTTTTAGAAAGAATCAGTTTGGGCTGCTACCTGGACTTTTTGTTAGGATCCTGGCCACTAAACAGTACTCTCACAATGTAGAGCCGGAGCTGCTCTGTCCCACTGATTCAGTCCAACTCAGTTATTTGCAGAAATACTAAATTTTTCTTTCTGACTATAGCTCTAAATTTTAAAGTCTATTTATTTCTGTCCTGGTCTCAGACCTTTTATAATTATTTGAATTCTCCAACTTTTGTCTTAGCTCCCCTCCATCACTGGAAAGCAGACTGATGCTACTTCCTTGATTCTGAGCTTATATCTATTTATATTTAGTATTTACTTCTCTTTTCTCTTTAAAAGTGCTTTTCTGGACACATAGCATCCTTACATTGCTCTTCAGTTCTTTGTCCTAGCATAGGAGTCTCTTCCAGTAGAATAGCTCTTTGCTGCCACCTTCTGGTTTTTGGCTGCTAAAGCCAGGCAGCAGGTCAAAGGTGACCATTTTAGTGTGGGCTCTTCCCAGCATCAGAGAATGCTCCCCCTTTTCTTTGGCTTCTTTCGATCTCTTCAAAGTGATCTTTTGATATATTTTATTCTCCAAAACTGGAATTAACTAGTTGTTACAGAGACCTTATGTCCCCAAAGCCAAAATTTTTTACTAACTTTTTACAGAGAAAGCTTGTTGACCTCTGCTCTAAAGAATATAAAAATAGCCAAGTATAGGGGGCAGCCACAGCCTTTATGGATGAAGAAAGTGCCCAAAGAAGTAATAAGTATGGAAGAGGCTGCCTTCCCCCAAAGCAGAATAAGGTCTTACTGGAAAGAGTGTGGCTGTGTCTCAGTGGATGACCATAAGCAGCCGCTTGCCAGATGCCAGAGAATTTGATGGAGGTTAAATGGAGTTTGAATGGAGTTTCTGGGTAGAGAACTTGGCTGGAGGGTAAGCACCATTGGTTTTCCGCATACCAGCTGGCAGCAGTTCTGCAGAAAGAAGAAGAAAATAACTGGAATCAGAACAAGGATGTGAAGTGCCTTGCTGCAGCCTTGTAAGCCCCTCCACTGCCCTCTATTGACAAAGCCTAACTTAACTCCAGCTGGCAAAAGAAAACTGTTTACATATACAGCTCCAGTATCTCAAATTAGAGTTAAAAGAGTGGATTTAGAATTAAGAGGCAATAATTAGATAACTGGCACAAATACGTAGTTCACATGCGAATTTCTCTAATTCAGTTGATTTCTGTATGTAACGTAGCACCATGCATTGCATTTATCTCATAACTTTTGAGTCTCCTTTCATCATAGAGTCTCCTACATTAAAAAAAAAAATTGTCTTTCATTACACTGACATTTGTTGAAGAGTCTAGGCCTGTTACTTTGCGGAACATCTCTCACTATGGATTTATTTTTTGTTTGCTCATGATTAGATTCAGGTTAAACACTTTTGGCAGGAATATTACATAGTTATAATATTGTGTCAGTGAAATATCACAAAGTACATGGTATAAGTTTGTCTCAGTACTAGTGAAAGTAAGTTTGATCATCTGGGTAAAGTTATGACCAACAGATGTATTCATTTTCCTGCTGTAATTAATAAGTACTCAATTGAGCAACATTTTAAGAACATGCAATTGTCTTTGTTTCCAAAAAAAAAAAAAATGCACTTCAATTTAGCATCTATTGGTAATTCTTGGTTGAATCCATTGTTGTAATAGTTGTGAAATGGCCATTATTGTGGGCTTTCATTCCCTCTACAATGAACTGGCAATGAGAACCGAAAAGTCTGGCACAAGCTGGGTTGTAAGCCATATTGGTAAAAGTGGCAGTCTTCTTCCAGTTCTGATTCAGGCACTTATCTCTGCATTTCCTACCACTTCACCTGTTTACCCAAGTCTCAGGAAAACATCTTGTAGGCCTGGTTTCACTCTCCATCCTTAACATGCTGTTTATAAGTAAGAATATGTGTGACTGTGATATTTTAATGGATCTTGGGTTTCTCATTATATGAAGAGATTTTTTAAAGACACATTTTTGAGTTTGAAAGAACCTAAAACTTTTACAGTTTAATTACCCAACCTAGGAACCAAAAGCAGTTTGTTTGTTATTTGTTAATGCATTTATTCAACAAATTATTTATTTAGGAAATGTTTTTACAACTACCATATAACTCTGTCATTCTCCAGCCTCTCTTCTTGAACATTTTCAATAATAGTTCAGTTGGTATTTTACTAAGTAGACCACACTCTGTCTCATGTTGTCTACAGTATTATGTTTCCATTTAACCCTGATATTGTTTTTAGCAGCTACATAATTCATATTGCATAATTAAAAGGCAGTATCTCTGATTGTGTGGTAATGTCAAGTATAACTATGGAGAGTTTAAATCTATCCACATATTTTTTGCCCACTAACTTTCAAGGAATAATTTTTTTTTAAAGAAAAAAAAATTTTTTCTAGTCAAATGGAGAACCTGATCACATTTTACAAACTTCAAACTTGAATTATGTCTATCTTGTTTTCAAAATTGAATGTGTGCCTTCTGTAAAGTAATATTAAAAACAAAATGATAGTTTTTAAAAAGAGGAGTTGAAGACTGGTTATTGGTTACTTTAGTATTTTAGTTCAGGGTTATAAAGTACAAACTGAACTGAACTGAAATTCTGTATTCTTTTTCTTGGGGTTGTATCACTTACTAACTTTGCTTCAAATAACATCAAGAGTTTGGTTGGTTGGTTGGTTGGTTTTTGTTTTTTTATAATACTCAATTTTTAATGAATATTTTACTCTTTATTATAAGTAAAATGTATCTTGTGTTAGCAATTGTCCTTAATAATGTTTTCTGATATTCTATAAATAAAACCTCCTTTTCTAAAAATTTGGTAATTTATAGGGTAGAGAAGAATTCTTGAAAAAACTCACACGAGGTGAAGTGGCTAACGGAATGATGATTCAGGTAATCCTAATTTGGTTTCAATATTTTATTCCTTTAATTTGCATTTTACTTAGCATTTTAAATCTGCCTGTAATGAGGCATCTTTTCACTCCTTGGTTTGCAAGCCAGCAGTTTCCTCTCCTCAGCTGATGACAGTTGCCCTCTGTACAACCAGCAGTATCTGATCACGCATAAAGAAACTGACCTCCCAGACACATATCTCATTTTGTGGCTTAATGGGGATTTCTGCCAGTCTAGTAAAAGGGCAGTGAGATCTTATTCCTAAGTGTCTCAGTTTGCTTTGTGATGATGCTGTTTTCTTTACTTTTAGTGCCTTTCAATGGAATTTCTTTAACACTGAAAGAAAAATATGATATTTCTATATAAAGATTTTGAGACTAAATTATTATAGCTAGCAAAATCAATTTTAATTCTTTTTATCTCTATCTACCACCTGCATATCCTTTGGAACCAGGGTTGGATGTTTTCATCCTTGGCATGTTTCTAGAATGCCTCCCTTTCAGAAATACATAAATATTTAAAATTATAAAAATAAAATCAAGAGGCAAAACAGTCCAAAACAGTGTTATTTTATACACTTTTTTGAGATTATCTGGACCTCTGGTCTTCTTTTAAATAAACACAAATTGTGATTTCTTCTGGTTGGAAATTTGGCATTTTCAAATATATAAAAGCAGTGTTTCTTTAGTTCTATATGCTGAAAATGCCAAATTTTCTGATTTATTTTTCTATGAGTATAGATGTTCAATAATCCCATATTCTTCTAGCCCTTTCCGCTTAATATTTTGTCATTAACTTCTTGTTCATTGGTTTTATTGGATCTTAGATTACAGGAATTGCATATATTTCAATATTTGTTGTTAGTGTGCTTTTTAACCCTATTATCTTCCAATACTTACTTAAAAATGTTTCATTTTCTGGGTGATGGGCATTGGGTAGGGTATGTACTATGGTAAGTGCTGTGAATTGTGTAAGAGTGATGAATCACAGACCTGTACCCCTGAAACAAATAACACATTATATGTTAATAAGAAAATTTAAAAAAAGAATGTTTCATTTTTATTGTCTGTATTAAATTTTTCTCTCATTTTTTCTAATAATAACTATGCATTGTATAAGTATGCTATATTCATACCTGTTGCTTTTTATGGTGGCATAATTTATTTTTAATTTTCAAATAACAACAAACATTACTTCCTGGCTCAGGATTGAGACTCAATAAATGTTTTTTTTTTTTTTTAAGTTTTTATTTCCAGTTAGTTAACATACAGTGAAATATTAGTTTCAGGTGTACAATATAATGATTCAGCAATTCCATACATCACCCTTACAAGTGCACTCCTTAATACCTATGTTTAGGTAATTAATAACTGAGTGAATTATTTAAAATCTTTGCTGGCAGAAAAGACTGTATACCATTCAAGAAGAACAGATACTTGAGAGGCGGGAACTTTTGGAAAAGAAAGCAATGTGTGCCCTGGCACTGGCCGAACTAGAGGCGTCTCTGCTTGAACTAGAAGAAGACGCTATAAGAATCAGAACTATGCACAAAGAACATTCTGATGTAAGTATTTGTAATTAATCCAGAAGCTAATTTCCAGGAATATTTAAGTCAAATCATGTATGTGATTTTACATTATTACTTGGAATATGATGATTTCACATAGTAAGACATAAAAGCATGAACAAAATACATATATTATGGCCACACGACTGATCTGTAGTGAAACTATATAGCAAGACTACTAATGCTATTACCTGGAACCCCATACTCTATATTAGAGTGTACTTAGGAAAAGCAGTTTTCAAATAAATGAGTAGTGATTTATCTGATGTGATTGCCCACTATGTTAAATTTAATTCAAAGTCTTCACTGCTTGTTAATAAAATGCTAAGGCTGTGTTTGCTCAAATATAAAATATAATGCATCTTGGCATTTTTATGGCAAATATTTGATGTATGTAGAAGAAGTTAAGACACCTAGGATGAAAAATAAAGCAAACGTCGATAAAATATTTTCAAAACAACAAGTTTATGGCAGTAACTGATATTGCTAGCCCTTCCCAAAGAAAAATTTAGTAGAAAAATATGTATGCATCATGTCATTAGTCTTTTGGAAAAGTGGAGGGTGTGGTAAGAGTTATATATTCTTGTCCTTAGATGCAGGGAGGACATACATATATATATTCATTTGGGCCAGTTTGGCAACAGGATTTTTTTTTCTTTGTAAATGATGATGTAATTTTATATTCTTAGTCTTTAATAATTTTCAGTGTTTTTTTAATTTAAAAAACTTTATGATTTATAAGATGTTCCCATTTTGAGAGTTTATTTTGATCTCCAAAGTCTCCCTATGAAGTAGACAAGACAGAGTTTATCTGGATCATAGCCTTAAGAAAACTTGGGCCTAAATGCATGAAGCAACTTGCACAAGGCCGTAAAACACGGCAACAACAAATTCTGAGTATACTACTATACTCAGGGCTCTTAATTGCTTATCCTAGAGCTCATGTAATGAATATATAACCAGTACTAACACCTAGTGAGATAAATGATTTTAATAATGGATCCTCCTTACATTAGTGATGGAAATTTATTAATTGCTTCAAAAGCCTCAGTATAATCATCTGAGTATAATGAATTCCTAAAAAGATTAATGACTTTTATTCCCCCTTATTTTATAATAGCCATTGTTTTATCTCATCTTTTAGTTCAGTAATCATTTTTGTTTTTATTATATTTTAATAGTTTATAAGTTATAAGAACTATCAATTTAACACAAACTCTTGAAAACAATAAGTTTTTATGTACTTTTGGTAATGATTGCTGACAATTTGTATCTGGAATTTTAATTTTGGTTAAGATATTTTAAGTATCATGGTGAAAACTGATGATTTCTATGTGAGTTTCTTAGTTTTTGTTACTTAGCTAAAATTGGTTAGATTTTGGTTTTCTCCAATAATTCAAATGGAATATTGGGATGTGGATATCATAGTATGTTTTTGTAATTCATGTTTGTTGGTCCTTTTCCTTTATACCAAAATATATACTGTTATTATTAAAATAGTCACTTGAGAACTATTTGGTCTAAACCAGAATAATTGGATTGCAAATGCTGCACATCTTAATTTCTGAATGTCTTCTAGATATTAAATGATATAACTGAGAGGAGAGACGATGTTAAAAGAAATGTGGAAAGAACTAAGCAAAAATTACGAAGAAGGGGGAAGAAAACCCGTGAGGCAATAACAGAAACTGAGGTAAGAAATTTAACATAAAAAATAATTATGAATTTACAACTTCTTTATGTCAATGAAAACTATTCAAGCAAATTTATTTTAGGTTGATGCCTCTCATTTCTAATTGGTTGCACTAAGTAGTTTCTATACACATACACACACACACATACACACACGCACACACATGCACACACACACACAGTCTCCGTATCTTCATTTTTTTCTCTTGCGGTGTTTTTCCCATTGTACTAGTGAATTCTCCTGTTAACCTGTCCTACAAAGTAGAGGTGGGGATTTGTATTGTACTAAAAATAGTACCATGTTTATACAGATGAGACCAATACACAGACTGAAACATCTGTTAATATCTGACATCTCAGTTTTACCCTCAAGCTGGTGTATAGGCAGCATGAACAAATGGTCATATATCAAAGGGCTTCAGGGCTTTTTCCAAATTAGAAATACTTGCTCCCTGAGAATCTTTTTCTCTAATATTTTGTCTTTAGAGAATCACTGGATATGGGGGGTGGAGATAGTCCATTGTCTTTAACTTGGTATCCTCTGGATATACTTTAAAGGTCGCACCAATTGGATTTGTTGGTGGACAGCATGTTGGCTATGAAACAGAGGTGTAATAATATCATTTTTTTTAAAGTTTGTACTAGGCCACAAAAGATTAAAAATTATCAAGGAAAATAGTAATACTAATAACAACAACAGATACTGATATTTTGCATGTTCTCTGTATACCAGGCATTATTTTAAGTGCTCAGACATATTAACTCATTTCAACTTCATAATAACTCTGTGAAGATTGTGCTATTTTTATCCCCATTCTACAGTTGAAGAATCTAATGCCTTGTTTTTGAATTAACTTGTTCAGTTTCACACAGCTCATTAATGGTGGAGTTGAGATTCACTAAATCTGGCACTGACATTAGAGTCTGTGCTCTTAACCATTATGTTATTCTGGTCAGATCATACAGGTTACTTTTGTTGAATACAATGGAGCAAAATCAGAACTCAGTAACAAAAAAATAGAGCAAAAAGAAAACATTACTGGAAATATTTTTTAAATTACATTTTTTCATTATTTGTTCTGTGTTAAGGAATATGTAGAAGCACAAATTATTTATAAATTATTGATGATAAACTATACAGCAAAATTTATGGAACAGGCCAAGGTAATACGTTAGTGTTACCAACAAATCATTTTGGTAAGAAAAATGTAAAGTATTTAGCATATCTATAAGGACAAAAAGAATATAAAAACAGCCATGGGAAAAATTAAAAGAGACATAATTATATATAGTAGTGGAAGAAAGAATGCTATTTTGCATAGAACTTTGTTTTAAAATTTAGATGAAGTACACAATTTATATACAAATTATTATACTATTTATTAAAATACAAATAATGAAAACTGGGTAAAGAGGGAAAATCACAACAAGAGTAGAATAAAAATTATAGAATAAATGTAATTTGTCTATACCACTAACCACAAGAACAAGCACAGGGGTGCCTGGGTGGTTTGGTCAGTTAAGCCTCCAATTCTTGATTTCAGCTCAGGTCATGACCTCAGGGTCATGAGATTGAGCCCCACATTGGGCTCCATGCTGGGCATGGAGCCTACTTGAGATTCTCTTTCTCCCTCTCCTTCTGCCCCTCTCTCCCAGCTTGCATGTGTGCGTTCTCTCTCTCTCCCTAAAAGAAAAAAAATTAATTAAAAAAAAAAACAAAAAACAAGCCCAGATACTTTATAGGCCTCCTTACAAAGACCAGATACAGACCATAAGAAAGTATGGAAAGCTTCTAAATTTATTCTGTAATAATATAATTCTGAAATTGTAACTGAAAAATACTAGCTTGAAAAAGAAATCTTTAGGTGACCTCACTTATGAACACAGATGACAAACTCTTAAATATATCAGTGAATTGAGTTTTTAAAATGTGATTAAAAAGCATGTATTATGCAAAGTAAGATTCCTTTGAAGAATGTGAAGATGAGTCAACATAAACAAATGTACAGCTGACACTGGAACAATGCAGGATTTAGGCAGTACCAGCCTTCATGTAGTCGAAAATCTACGTGTAACTTTTGACTCCCCCAAAACTTAACTACTAATAGCCTACTGTTTACTGGAAGCTTTACTGATTGCAAATAGTTGATTAACAAATATTTTATATGCTATAGATATTATATACTATATCCTTATATTAAAAGAAGCTAGACAAAAGAAAATGTTATTAGAAAAATCAAAAGGAAGAAAAAATACATTTACAGTGGTGTGCTGTTAAAAATCTGCCTGTAGGGGCGCCTGGGTGGCTCAGTTGGTTAAGCGACTGCCTTCGGCTCAGGTCATGATCCTGGAGTCCCTGGATCGAGTCCCGCATCGGGCTCCCTGCTTGGCGGGGAGTCTGCTTCTCCCTCTCCCACTCCCCGTTTGTGTTCCCTCTCTCGCTGTGTCTTTCTCTGTCAAATAAATAAATAAAATCTTTAAAAAAAAAAAAAAAAAAAATCTGCCTGTAGGAGGAACTGCACGGGTTCCAACCTGTGTTGTTCAAGGATCAGCTGTACTAATATAATTCAGTACATTTACAGAAATGAAAGACAATTAACCTAAAATATTTAATAAAACACTATAGGCACTAATGATTTTCAAAAACACTTTTAACTATCTAGAAATAGAATGAAAACATCCTTACCTTGATAATGTGTCTACCAGTACTTTCCAGCAAACGTTATACTTAATGGCAAAAACATTAAAATTATTTCCATTAAAATCAGGAACAAAAACATTCAGACAAGCTCCTACTACTCAGCATACTACTGTTATTGATAACAAATTACTGTTAACACATGTCACAAAGGTAAAACATATGTGTTGAACATGGCAGTGGAAAACCACCTGGTTACTCATGTCCACATCTGAATACTAGTTTCAAAAAATATTAACTAAAAATTGCCAAAGGTGGTATGTCTAATAAATATAACAAATTTCAATGAAGAATATGGCTGAACACTTTCTTTGTGTGTGTGCTCAGTATTGTAGAAGGTACTAGGAGTTGAAGGGCTAGAAAAGAAGGGTTAATTTTCTTTTATTTGTCCTTCAAATAAGTTTGTCTTTTCAATTACTATTAAGCACTTGAGATATATTAAACATTGTTAGAATTTGCTGGAATTGGGGAAGTAAAAGGAGAACTTTGTTCACTCAAGAAGCACATTATCTTGTTGGGGAGCAGACAAGGACACAGAGCATTAATACACTGTGAGCAAAGCCATGACAGCAGTATAATGAGGTAGAAGAGTGTCATGGAGGAGGACACCTGACTGAACTGAGGGAATTGGGGTAGGTTTTTCAGAGGAGGTTATATCTAAAAATGAGAATTACTAATGGAGTAAATGAAGGTTAAATACTTACATTGCCATGATGTTGTGGAGAATAGAGATGATATACAAAAAGCCTTAAAAAATTATTGTCACTGAAGGTACTTATCATCATCAGCATCATCATTATCATTATATAATTTTTAAATTGATGAAGAAATGAAGTAAGGGCATTTTAGAAACAGGTGCTGTTTGCAAAGCAAAGGTATCATGAAATAGTGCTGTGTGTGGAATCGCAGGTAGTTTGGTATGACCAGAGAGCAGGGCACCTATTTTAAGAGTGAAAAGAGGGGCGCCTGGGTGGCTCGGTCGTTAAGCGTCTGCCTTCGGCTCAGATCGTGATCCCGGGTGCTGGGATCGAGCCCCGCATTGGGCTCCCTTCTCCCTCTCCCACTCCCCCTGTTTGTGTTCTCTCTCTCGCTGTGTCTCTCTCTGTCAAATAAATAAATAAGATCTTTAAAAAAAAAAGTGAAAAGAGATGAAGCTAGTGAGATGGGCAATACACAGATGAAGAAATGCCTCATGCGCCATGCTGTTGAACACCAAACTGTTGTAATGTCAAATATCATTAATAGCATTTATTAAGTACTTTTATGCTGATAGGTGTACAAGCCATACTATAGACCCTATTTCTGTCTTCTAAGAACTTAAGTTCTAAGACAAATAATTTTTAAGACAAATAATTTTATCTTTTACTGTGCATAAGCATTTCAATCATGGGCCAAAATAAACATGGGCCAAGTTAAACATGGGCCATTACTGAATTTTTACTATTTCTAACCCCAATTTAAATCTTAGGCATAGATTCTAAACTTATTATGTTTAGATAATTTAAAAATTAAATCTTAAATAAAAATCTTAAAATCTTAAATTCTTAATCTAAAATCTTTAAAAAATCTTAAATAAAATTAAAAATATAATTTGAAATTAATAATTTAGAATCTGAATATAATCTTTATTACATAATATTTTTTAAATATGTGACTTGAAAGTTTGGGGGATAAGGAAATGATGAAAAATGTTGTATACTAAAACATTAATTAACTGCAATTCAGATTTTTAGATTCTTCCAGGTCTGGACATGAAAGTACCCTTAGGTTGGAAAGCCTCCAAATTACTGATGCCTGTGTCCCCCAGGGCTAGAGAAAAAATAAGCCAAAGAATGGTCAAATTATAAATAAATCTTAAATAAATAAATCTGCCTCTATTCCCATTTGCTGTGGTGGCCCTTCAGCATTTATCAAAAGACTTACAAATGGCTATTGGGGGGTTCCCCAGTCTTCTGCTCACTGCAGATGTGCAGATTTGTACTCCTGATTGACATACAACATCTAACGACTTCTCTCTAGACTCAGCTTACCATAATGATGTTTCTCATATTTTTGATGCCATGGAAGGGGTTATGCTGTTAACATTTACCAAAGCCTCACTGATGGTACCTACTAGAGTGGCAAAATACCATTTTTTGCTTTTCATTGCTGTCTGCAGGAAGCACACTGTCTCTTTCTTTTGTTTAGTGTAGATGTTTTGACACCACCTTTAGAACTGCTGAATTGACTGGTCTGGTCTAAGTTGTTGATACCATTGCTTCTGATGTCTTTTGACTTTGCTGTGAGAATCTTCATTCAAGATTAAGGCATGAATTATGGAATCTGACTTAAAAAATTCAAGTTCGGTGATAGCATGCTGTACCCAGAGTTGCCCATCTCTTTGACTCCTACCTACTTACTTTATTCCATACTTGTACCTCTTCACACTTTTTGGGGGGACTGACTTTTCTCCCAGTAATAATATAGTATCCTATTGGTCACACTGAAGAATCCTAGTCAGCCATCTTTCAACTACATTCAGGTATTAAAAACAAGCAAACCAAAAAACCCTCATTTATCAGTAGACGAATTCTAGAACTTTCAGAAAAAGAAAGAAACAAAGGGAGGGTATGAAAATCCAAATACAGTACCCAGTGTTGAAAGTCGTGGACAAATAGCAGATTTTTATAGGAAAATAAATATAAAAGATTAGCCTTTCTACTTGAAATCTGTAAGAGTAGAGAAAGAATCAGAGAGCATATGGGGGGAAGTGGGAGAAAATAGGAGCAAGGGGAGCAGTTGATATCTAAAATCATTTGGAAGAGTAGCACTAATTAGAAGCAATGCCAAATGTGGGGAACAGCATTCAGTAAGTCAGTCATCCAATCAGTAAATCATTCAGTCATATAAACATCAACAGTCATGAAAGGATCATGCAAAAACTAGATGCAAAATAAAATCTTCAGTTTGGAATTGCATAGGTCAGCCTTGGGAAAGTGTACTGGTATTAAATATTAATTTCTTTTGTTTGAAAGATCAGGACAATGTATATCCTTGCCCACCTTCAATGTACATGTTTGAAAACCAGTAACCAAATGTTTATATATTTTTTTAAGATTTTATTTATTTGAGAGTGAGAGAGAGATCATGAGCAGGGAGGGGGTAGAGGGAGAAGCAGACATCTCCACTGAGCAGGGAACCCGATGTGGGACTCGATCTCAGGACTCTGAGATCATGATCTGAGCTGAAGGCAGACGCTTAACCAACTGAGCCACCCAGGTGCCCCATCCACATGTTTATATTTTGAAAGGACATGCCTTTAAGGTGTGCTTGTATGGGGGCATGTGGAGGGGAAGACAGTGCAGGGGAGAGAGGGGAAAAGGGAAAGAGGAAGAGAGCTGTGGGAAGAGAGACTATATAGTTCTAAACCATTTTTTAGACAATCTCATCAGATGTAACTATGGAGAAGAGAAAGAACATAAATCTAAGTTGTTACTTACACTGATAATAAGTTACTGTTTGCTTTTAATTGTTTACATGGCCAAATGTAATTGTGTCCTTAAGTTGCAAGGATTTGAAAATTCTAGTATTTAAAATAAAACATCCTTGAATTTATTTTCCAGGAAAAATGCTCAATAACTTTTAGAGAAATAGAGAACACTAAAAGTAAAACCATTATTTATCATGCAAAAATAAATCAGTTGAATAAGAACTTAAAAGAAAAAGAGAAAGAAAATATTACTTTTGCTCAGACACTTGGGAATTTAAAGTAAGTACTTAAATTTTATCAAAATATTAAATGTTCAATATATTATTTGTAAAAGAGATAAGACCAAATTTCTTTAAGGTTTATTCTTAAAATGGTCCATTATTTTCCATCATTATTTGATGTGGAGTACACATGTGATATTTGATAATTTTGGTTTAAAAACGTAAATTGTGGGGGCACCTGGGTGGCTCTTGGGCTCAGCTCTTGATCTCAGGTTTAAGCCTCACATTGGGCTCCACCTGGCTTGGAGCCTACATAAAAAACAAACAAACATAAATTGTGTTCATTTTTTATTATTCCCCTGGGTCTATTCTTATTTGAATAACTGGGAATGTTTATTCTTTTCCAAGTATAAGAACTTTTATTAATTATGAAATTAATAATCTTTCCCACTCATTTCAGTATTTCTCACTCATGTGACATGGTTAATAATATATGGTTTTTCACCCAAACTTTTTTGATAAGTTTTGTGGTAATCCTTTAGAAATAGATATTCTACAAAACCTTATGTAATTTGTTCGTATTTATTGTCTTCAGAAAGCTCTTATTCAGTCCCTTTATTAATCAGGGACATACCTAACAAGGGTTAGTAAGATCTTTCACTCAGAGAATGATCATACTCTAAGGCCTCTAGTGTTTCCATAAGACCCTCACTTAGAACTTACATTCTCTTCCTTTGTTCCTTTTGGTTCTTATTTTTCTATTTTGTAATACATTGAGAACAGAGCTTGAAGGACTACGGGAAGGATATACATTGGTCACATTTAGGAATTATAGTTTGATTTAAATAAGATCTATTAATTAACAATGGTGATGGATAATGTCAAATAATATTTAAAGTTACTATTGATTGACTTCCTAATGTGCCAGGCACTTTGTGGGCAATCTGTGTACTTTATCTTATCCAGTTCTCACAGCAAATTCTTAAGTTATGTAATATGAATACTGAGGAAACAAGCTCAGGGAAATTAAATGATTGTCTTTGTACAGCTAATCAGTGGTTAGAGCCAGCCCCAGTTTAGGTCCATCTTGTTCCAGTGTGTGCTTTTAAAACTGTGCATATTGACTCACTAAACTAGGATTGGAAAGGAAGATTATTGCAAATAAACTATATTAGTAATAATCTACTGGTATTTTCAATAGATGACTATATCAAGTTAATCATTATTTATTAAGAACCCACAGTGTGCCTAGTCCCAGACAGCAAGAAGGACAAAGAAATGACAAATGGGAAAGTGTACCTTCAAGTTTCTGAAGATAATTTTAGAAATACAAACTTGCATATGCAAAATGATTAAAATATGGTGATTAGAATAATAGCAATTAAAGCTGTCCTTGACTCTAATTTTTGCAACTGTTCCTTAATTAGGATGTGAAAGGATTTAGACCCAGACCCATAGGACTTCAGAGTTTATTCTTTTTATCACTATGAGAAAGGAAACACTATTTTCATGTATAGATATACATAAAAGCATATATAGCCTATATAATGTATGTGTGTGTATAGTTAACTAATAAAAATGCTGTGTTGAATATAATCCAATCTCAAAATACTTAGTGTAGAGAACAAAGTATATGTGGTCAAGATATAGTGATGTTTGCTGGAAGCAACTTTGAGAGTTTTTTGGCTCTGGTCATACTAGCTGTTCCCCATGTGAATTTCATGGTTTCTATGTTCCATAATATTGATATCAGTGAATATTTATATAGGATATCACATAAGAATTTTGGATGTTTTTGGTATGAATGATGAAGTGGAAAAAACATGGGCAAGACATATAGATAAAAGGAAAGGACCTTATCCTATTTAGAAGGAGAGCCTCACATCTAAAAACGTAAACAAAAAATGTTGTTTTCAAATTTCTGATAATAGCCATAGTAGAGAAAGAGAAAAAAAAATGAGTATTTAGTGTTGAGCTGCTGAATCAAACAGAATAAGACAAAACTGGATTTGCATTCTGGTTCTGTTATTTACTAATTAGCTTACATAAGCTAATTATGGTGAAGTTTAGTTTCTTCATCTGTAAATTGCTATAATGATTATTCTTCCATAGGGTTGTTGTATTAAATGAGATATTATATTTGAGCACTTTAACATTTCAGCCCCTCAAAAACTTTAGTCCTGCTGCCTTTTTAGCTAACTGTGCAAATGACTCAATTTTCTATACCAGCAGAGATAAAAACAAATATGGGTAACATAAGACAGTGCTGAGTTTTTGCAGCTCTGTTTATTCTGCACTCTGTGTTACTGATCAACTCTGACAATTATTTCTAAAGCATATTTGTTTTCATTATTGTTTTAACCACTTTTTGATGCTTTTTCTATTAGTGTTGTTCCTTATTTAAATAAAAATCATTTAACCTCTGTGTCAGTATATACTTAGTTACAAATGACAAAATACACACACATGTACACAAACAAAGGTATTCACACAACAGCTTAAACTGAACAATAGGGAAATGTGTCCTCCTATATAACAGGAACCCTTGGGTAGGGTAAGGTGCAGAGTTGATTGATATTAGTGAATCAGCAGCTCAACACTAGGTACTCATTTTTTTCTCTCTCCACTACATCCATTGTCATCAAGTTTGAAAACATGACTCATTTACATTTAGTGGATATTGAGTCTTTCTACATGGAATTAGGCCCTTGTCTTTCATCTTATTAGGCTATATTAATATATATGTTCACTCCTAAATAATTAACCATATGCTAATTGGCTTAATTTAATTGGAATATATCTTTGGTGTTATATGCTGCATGGAGGGAGGGGTTCTTTTAGAATGACAACAAAATAGAAGCACGCTGGGTAGGCAACCAAGAGAATCCACTAAATTTCTCCAGAGATTTTCTTCCAACTGGATCATTTAGAAGTAGCTCTATGGAGGTAGGCCTATGGAAAGGATTGGGGAATTTTTCCAAAGCCATTCAGTTCTAAGACTTTTAAATATTGGCTCTTTTAAAATGTATCACAAATGTATTTTAAAAAATAAAATATGAATTGATTAGTTGCAAATACAATTCTTTCTTCATAGAAATGAATTTTTAACCATGAGATATAAAAGGGAGCATGCACAAGCTGTATTTGATCATCTCATAAGTGAGAAAAAAATCTATGAAGAGAGACTCTATGAGGAAGAACAGAGATATCGAACACTCATTACCATGAGGCAAAAAACTCTGGCAGATATTAAAGTGAGTATTTTTTTTTTTTTTTTTTAAGATTTTATTTATTTATTTGAGACAGAGAGAATGAGAGACAGAGAGCATGAGAGGGAGGAGGGTCAGAGGGAGAAGCAGACTCCCTGCCGAGCAGGGAGCCCGATGTGGGACTCGATCCTGGGACTCCAGGATCATGACCTGAGCCGAAGGCAGTTGCTTAACCAACTGAGCCACCCAGGCGCCCGAAAGTGAGTATTATTTTTATACTGTCTTAGAATGAAAGAAATATAGTGATAGTCAAAATAGCGGCTAGTCTGAGACACTCATTTTTCATCTTGAAGTAGCAAAGGTTTAAATTCTAAAAACTTAAAAACTTTTAAAGATATATGTAATATCATAGTGTATTTTTACAAGCTATTTTTGATCCTGATGTTTATATATCCAATTATTATATATATTCATATACTCAATTACTTTTCTTCCTTTTTACATTTTCAAAGACATTGTTTAATTCATTTTAAAAAATGGAGCAAATATACATTAAACAAACAAATGTGTCAGTGAATGAACATACCATCTATAGTGCTATTTCTGTGATCCTTCCTATAGAAAAGTATTAATAAAGGAACAATAATTTTATTAATAATAATGCTAAGTAATATTCTTCCATTTTAAATGTGGCCGTTACATAGAAAAAGGGTATTTTGGGAGGAGGGGGCCTAAAAATATGAAAATAATTGGTGCCATCTAGTGGCAATAAATGATGCCTCCTCTTGGAGAGGTTCCTGAAACATTGATGGCTAAATCTCAAGATTTGTGATATATGAATGGACTAGGGAGGCTTAGACTCAAATGCACCCCTCAAAAAGAGAAGGCTTAAGTTATTTACTGATTTAAGCATCATTCTCTGCCTCATATTTTATCACAGCAGTAGGATTAGCTGCTTGAATTCAACCACATTTTCCAATCGTACTGGTGCTGAGAACACAGTGGGATCTCAATAATCATTTATTGACTGGCATTTCAACACTTTAATGGAACAATAATAATTAGTGAAATGGCAAAATATGGTCAGCAGGAGAGAGACAAAGAAAAAATCCTGTATAACTAGCCTCTCAGAAATGGAGATTTGTATTTTTTTCATCCAAAATCTTGTCTCTGCCATCCCATTCTGAAATGTACTTACCTCCAGCCACTTGTCACATCACATGGTTTTGTAGTACGAGTCTCTATCTTGTTTTGCTCATTCGTTTTTACTTGTTTGTTGTCTGCCTGCATCTTGCAATACTAACGTATTGTCAGTGAGGACAGGAGATTTTCTGTCACATTCTTTGTATCCTAAAAGCTCAGAACTGTGTCTGTCACAAGGGAGGCACTCAGTGAATAGTCATTGAATGACTGAATGAATAAATGGATGAACATATGCTTTTTTGGTAATTTTGCTGCCCACATGCATGATAATGCCTGAAAGCAGGAGCATTTCAGAGATACTTTCCATACTGCGCCAGCCTGATACTTTAGTTGAATACTTATGTTGTATGCAAAAGCTGAATCTGTCCCTTTCTTTCTCTTTCTCATTCTCCCTCTCTCCTTGATAATGCATGAGAAATTTGCCATCTAGTCTGTTCTCTCTAGATGAAAATTATTACATTGTCTATTGCTTTCTAGCAATTAAGGATTCTGCTAAATATCTGCATAATACTTCTCAAGTAATCTTCAATTTATATGAAATTGTCTCTTATCAGCTCTTGGATAGCTCTTTGTTATGCATTTACCCTATGTGACCAGAAGCATAGAGTTTGAACAGGCATAGTTTAGATGTGATTTATCTCATCATTAGTGACACTCTTTATGATTATGATCAGTTATTGGCATTAAATAGTGGAAAGACAATGTGATTTTTCATAACACTATTCTCATCCCTGTTTAGAAATTGGATGAGATAAAAATTTGTAAATATGTATGTAATATGAAGCATTCTCATAAAGAAACAAGTTTCATTAGGCATCATTATAGATGTGGTATTACTAATCTGGAGTGTCCCCTCTGGGCAAAGGAATTGATCACAATTATGGATCATCTGAAGGAATTGTTTAATAAAAGACTATAAAGGCCACAGTACAAATAACTGGGGATGTAGGAAAACATGCCATAGAATTAGAAATACAAACAGCCAATAAAATGGTTTAAGAAAAAAATATATACAGACTTCAGATAGCATACAATGTAGTTCTGGAGTTAAAATCTACCTTTTTTGGTAGGTAGTTCCATATTAGATATCTTTAAATGGAAGATTTTTTAAATGTTAAATGGAGTTTTTATTAACTGCCTATAATTTGCAAATGCAATTAAGATTAAAATTTCAGTATAGCATATTCATCAAAGCACTATAGCTCTAGTTACTGATCTTCCTTTTTTGTTACTGGAAAGATCCAAACAAAACTGGAGTTTCAGGTATTTTAATCTATTATTAGCCATCCTCAGAAGTCCCACTGCTTTTCTATGTCAGTGCCTTTCTCTATTGCTCTTTCTATATCCTTGTTCTTCTTCCTATAATTTAGGGTATGATATGAGAAGGGTATAATGGATTACATTGGATCTTTGGCGGACAGAACAATTTCCAAATTGAGTCTGAAAGACACAATCTCCCAATATTTTGTAGAATTTATTAGTTTTTATTTGGCTTCATATTTATATTTCACTCTCAGGAAATACTTACAATAGTCCCATATTTGGCTATTAAATCATTTCTTGACCATTTCATGTGGAAAATTCTTAGCTTAATACAGAGACAGTGATTCACTGCCTCATTAGACAGCCAGGTACAGCAATAGTAAAAATCAGAAACAAATTTAATCTCTGAACTAATTTTAAAGATTATTACAATTTTAAAAATAATTCTCCTATTGTCCACTCATCACTTCATTCACACAACTAGTTCAGGGCACTCAGTGTTGGATGACCAAAACCCTAGCCTCAATTTTAAAGATGCAATCAGCAGAAAGATGGAAGATGTGAAAAACAAACTTGAATTTAGTAACAATGCACAAATTACATACAATAAATTTTGTTGCTGGCCCAGTGACCTGATACATTAGATATGATTAAAATAAAATAAAAGCCATTACGTATTCTGTGATCTTAATAGTGGGAAATGTATATGTGAAAAACCTGGAAACATTTAGAACTGCGCAGTGAACCTCCTAGGCAAGAATAATTTGCCTTAATGTTAATTTTCTTGCCACGAAAAGATTTTAAAATAACATGAAATTTTTAAAAATTAGGAACATGGTTTGCATAATATTTTTAACAATTCTGATAGGATTAAGCATTAATCACATGTAATAATATTAATTCGGTTCATCATATTGCTTTTTTAAAGCAACTTATTCAAATCATTCCTCTTTGAGGAATGAACATTTTAATCTGAGGACTGGTAGCAAAAGCTTGCTAGTTTTATACTGGAGAACCCTTCAAGTTTTTGCACAGACCCAGTGCTGCAATGATCGTAGGTACTTAGAAATCAGGAGAGAGTAACACTAGAATGTGAAGGAAAGATGTAGCATGGGTATAAGTGATACCCAAATATAAATTTAATGTATTTTGGATGTTTACTTAGAGCATGATCTGTTAAACAAGGAAGAAGCCTCTCTTCTTTTTGCATCTCTCTCCAGCATCATGTTACATCTTGCAGATATGTCCCAGAATTTCTACTAACACTACATTAAAGCACTATACATGAAGTTTGAATAGGCTTTTTATTTTTTGAACTAGCAACCAATCACCATTTTAGCTTTTTTCCCCCCAAACTACCTAGAGGCATCTATTAAAATCACTTGGCCATAATCCATTTCAGTTTTTATGTACATTGGTATTTTTTAACATTATTGCGATAATACTCTATGAACACACTTTGGATGTTATGCTTTTTCCAGGTAACATTAATTTCCTAGTGGGACTGCCACTTTTGAAATTCCTCTCCCCTCCCCACTGCAGAGTAATAGCATAAATATATGATTATTCTCTTTTAGTCAATTAAAGTCATTATAGTATGAGTTTCCAAATATCAGATTGCATTCTTAAGTATACCTAATTGGTTATGCTTTATTAAAATTGTAATACATTACTGGATTCAATTTGCAACCATTTAATGCTGAATATCTATTGGTCTATAGTTCTTCTATTTTGTACTTTGTTCAAGATATTGGTATCAGAGATTTACAACAGTTTTTAAATCAAATAAGAAGGTTTTCTTTTTTTTTCTTCGTTAAATAGCATAACACATTTCAGTTCCTTAAAGTTTTTAGAAATTCTTCCATGATACTATCAAGATATGTGAGGAGTTAGAGATTTTACCTCACTTGCAAGCTAACAAGTTAGCCTGCCATAGTTTCACAGATGTGGGAGAAGGCATGAAACTCCTGAATGAGAAGCAGAGATTTTATTATGTCCTACACAACAACAGTGTGAACTTCATGTTTGCATAGGTTCACCTTGTCTCCAGGTCTCCTGGGATAATGGGAAAGTGGTCAGATGGATGCTACATACACAAGGAATTTTTATTGCAGCTGATGAACTTGGAATGTAGGAAAGCCCCAGTTTTTTATGGAAACTTCTAGCAAATGTGCCCAGCCTTTGCCCCAGAAGTCATTACATTTGCTATGCAATCTTGAAAAGGAGGTTCTGGATAAAAGTTGTCATAAGTGTATAAACATGGTGGTAAATGCCCCCATATATATATATATATATGGGGGCATTTACCACCATATATATATAGTGAGAGAGAGAGAGAGAGCTTGACCTTGACTCTTTTCTGAAGAAAAACATTTTAAAATTTATTCAGTTTATTCTTTGGTTTTTGCATGATTAATGTTTTCTAATTCTTGAGTCAATATGGTAAAGCTATATTTTTCTAGAAAAGATGATTTTAATGAGGTTTTCAAATTTATTATCAAGTTGTATGAAATATATATTTTTCATTTCTTCTGCTTCTGTCGTTATATTCTTTTCTCATGCACCAGACTTTTTTTTCT